TTTTCCCCACCTTATTAGATCCTTATCCAAGACCTTAACGCTAATAAAAGAAAACCAAATACCTTACCACTAGCAAAAAGCCCAAATACCTTAACACTAATAAAACGTGAATACTAAGGGTAACTTCTCTTATGTGAGCATTTCCAGTCACTTGGAGGGTTGAGGTAGGTTCACGGCCATCAGAAAAATAGTCTAGCAATGATAATCCTCTAAATTGAATATACAGGATCATATTGTGGCTAGTTTGAGATTGAGGCATAGTTAATTCACTGATTAAGGTCAAAAAGGAACAACAGATGTTTTGAAGGTTTATCAACTCCAAATCATTTCCTTAAGGCTAGATGTTTTTCGTATCTTTATAGTTGCATTACCTTTCCCCCTTAGATTCTCCTGACAACTTTTTGAACTTGTTTAGCTCCCTAGTTCTAGAATAGTCATTTTGTAATTGAGCTAACAAAGTCTTTTTTGCTTCCATAACTTTTGTATTAGTATGCATCTTTTTGATGCCAGCAATGAAATCTAATATTACTTCATCAAAAACAAAAACAAAAAAAATCACTGATTAAGGTAACACGAATGTGATACTTGAGACCTACACTAGTTAAAGTTACAGATATCTCAAACGTTAACTTTATCTCAGCTTTGTACCTACTTTTATAATGTATCTTCATGTCATACCTCATACCCAAGTCCAGCCAAATGACATTTCAAAAGGGAAAGAGGAAATTTTCTTTATGTTGGTAAAACCTAGTGAGATTCTACCCAACCAATGTACTTCTATTGTCAGTGAAAGCAGTTCCCAACTCTAAAGGCTATCTTACTACTAAGAGTGAGTATTTGCTATGTTGCGTGGACTCTCCAAAATGCTGATACACCCGTGTCAGATCCTTCAAAATTGCACTACTTTTGGAGGATCTGACATGCACGAGAGAGTTCGAGCTACATAGGTATTTTGAGTACTCCCACTTGTTAACTATGGAGAACCTATCTGAAGTATAACATAGTTCAGCAGGATCTAAGTTCATATTATCCAAGCTGTCACATAGGCCTTAAACTTGCAACATTCTCCATCCTCAGGTCATCCATGTTTTGAACCTTTTTCTTTCCTTCGAGGAACTCAACAACGAGAGTGTGAAACCAGCTTGGTTTGATCACTAGTTGTTGATTGTATCGGTAGCTCGGTGTATTAAATGGCAGGTAACATCATGACTTAGGAGATACCCCTTTCTCAGGTCCACTCTTCTCCTTCTTTTACTGTAATAGAATCTGATATATTAGATATATCCAGACTAAATATATAGCCTCTCTACCGCCATTAGGTAGGGGTAAGGTCTACGTACACTTTACCCTCCCCAGACCCCACTTGTGGGATTTCACTGGGGTTGCTACTAACTGAGTGCAACCTTCTCTGTCCAGAATGATCCTAACATCAGACTACACATAAGAACATAGTGCAAAAGTCCACCCACCACCATTACCCTCTCACAAACAACAACAGTCGGTTAATAAACTTGAGACACAACATCTGCAAATAATGCCAATACTTTCATGTCAAAGGTTACCCAGTGTGTGTAACAGAAATTTTACCTTTGACTCAACAGGTGGTGAAACATGAAATGAGCTCAAGGGACGTTTGCCATCATCTTCTGAGGAACAGTCAGAACACAAGAAATGCTCTAATTTCTTTGCTTCTTCAATGGTCATACCCATACAAGAGGGATGGAACCTGCAATAAAATTGCAAGGAAAATGAGAAGACTTTCTTATAGACACAGTTATCAGATAATCATAACACGGACAGTTAGACTAAGACAAACACTATCAGATAATCATAACACGGACAGTTAGACTAGGACAAACAGACTCCACGACAACTCAGGCCTCCTAACGTAAAGATGCTGAATAAAGCAGCCATTTCACCCAAAGCCAATGAAGGCAATTACAGACATGTGAAGATTTTCATTTCCCCTATTTTACACTCCAACCACACTGATGAAGTTGCTCTTACTTTCAAGTTCCATGCCATATCAGATAAACAATACAGCCCCGAGTATTGCTTAACCAATGTGGCATTGCTGAACTCATCGTAGAGCCTTGAAACCACATGTAACTTTGACATACAAGATTTCTGGCACCATCAGAGATTTGCATCCAATTCCTAAGATATAAAGACACCAATTGGATCTAGATATTTTAGTCAACCATTTTAAACTTCACGTAAACTTGCCAGGACCCATGTGTTTTCTTCGTGGGCACTTGGGAACAAATCCAGATTCTGGTGGAATTTCCATATGATATAATATTGTATCTGTATACCTAATTATGCCCCACAACAATGTTTTCACTTCAGCAATAACATGGACATAGACAGGTACAGTACATATGTATACACATACGTGGGTGATATCAGCATTCAAACTCAAATTTCTTATTTAAGTTTACCACAACTGGATTTTTAACAAAGGGCAGTCGCAGCTCGAATTGAAATGGATCAGCATTGCATGCTTACATGATACACAAAGGAATTTCATCTAAAAGACTACCTGAAATGCAAGTAAAATATCATGACATTTATAAGTCTGCAAAAAGAAATATTTATGTCTGTTTGTTGTGCACCCGATTGAAATAGCAAGATAATGTAGATAGTGGACAGTAAAAAGGCAATACAATTATATAATCCACTTTAGAAGATAAAATCTGCACGAATGAACCAACTAAACTTGCCCCATATGCTGATATACGAGAAATGGGGAAAGATGCAACAATTTATTTGTTGCCCTTTCAAGCTTTGAGTTCTTTGATGTGACTGTACATTTATTTTCCTTTTTTGCTGCTTTTGATCTAAACTGAAAGTAATTACAAATATAAAGATATCCTTTTATGTTCAACTAGAACATTAAATGGAGCTATGCTTGTTGATTTCCATGCATAAAAGCAAAAAAGACATGTTCATGCGTAAAGGGAATAAATTTTTACGATATTGTCAGTTTACCAGTCTTTGCATCCTTCACACTGTACCATCAGATCATCAGGGTTGTAGGGCATCTCACACTTACAATACCTTCAAAATCAAAACATCCCAAAGTATCCAGGTGTTAGTAAACACTATGAGCATAACTTTCAAATTCAAACCTAAAAATGTAAAATGTAGCTCTCATGCTCCAGAGCAAAGCTAGTATAAACTCACACAGCGACGCGGTCAGGAGTAAATCCCCCTGTGGCAGCTTTGTACTCGAACCTACAAAAGTAATCCTCAGGGCCCACATTCTCCAATTTGGTGTAGTTCTTAAAAGAGTGCACTATGCACTTCCCTTCAATGGTATGTGCACTTTGCATATCGAAGTGATCTGATAAGAACAGCTCTTTGGCCCCATGGAATTGTCTGCGACCACCAATAGACTCCTCCGGTCGGTAGTACCATCTAACTTTGACCTTCACATTATTCCGGTGATCGGACTCGAGCTTCTCTACTCTTGCCACGTACGGAGGCTTATCAGAATCAGAGGGTCTCATCAACACACAATCACCAGCTGAGAAAGAAAGTTCAAAACAGTTTATTTTTTCAGTCTAATGACATCCAACAATCGAAAACTTAAATAACTGAAAAGGATTGTGTGGGGGCCGGGGGAGTTGGAGCAAATGCTGATAATGAAGAGAAGAAAAACGCCCCAAATCTCATCAAAGTCCACAATACATGAAATATGCGTGCTATAGGACAACAACTACGCACTGAGCTTAGAAATATTAAAGCGAAGTTAAAGAAGGGACAAACAATCTAGGAAGATAAAACCCAATGAGCTAGGAATAAATGCAGTACAAAAAGGCACCCAAAGGCGTGGCCTACTAGTCAATTAAGTGGAAGAATAACCATGAGTTTGCAGGTTCAAATCCCAACGGAGGCAAAACACAAGTGTGTTGGTGGTAGTTAGTCGAGGCGTATAGAAGCTGGTCCATACACCATAGTCATAAAAAAAAAAAAAAATTGATCAACAAAATGATAGTACTAATGGACAATCTATAATACAAAGCATAGAAGGAGAAAAAAAAAGAGAGTAGTACTTCAATGAGCCAAAGTAAAAACCTTGTAACACCAAAAAAGGACCAACTTTATCCTTCTTCGCACATGACAAATCAAATTACCAAAATCCAAATTGATCAAAACAAGAAATAAAATAAACACAAGCACAATCATAAAGGTACAGCAATAAAGAGCCGGGGGAGGGGGGGGGAGGTGTATTACGTCTAACGATTTTGTTGGTGCCCTTGATAGAGTAAGAATCAAGGTCTTTTTTTCCAGGTTTAGTCTTAGCCATCAATCTTTCAGCTCAGTCTTCAAGAATAAACAAAACCCAGCAATAAAGACTCAATCTTTTTTTCTTTTTTTAAGTGAAAATGAATGACCCACTAAGGAAAATTTCCTGGTGATGACAACTGTAAAAATGGAAATGGATAACAGTTGAAAAGCTCCTTTTTAGTAGAGAAAGAGAGGAGCAAAAACCCTAGTTGCTGGAAAATGGGGGGTGGAGAGTAGAGCAAAGGACTGGGAAAGAGAGAGAAAGCGCATGAGAAGTCGGAGACACAGAGGTTTTGTTCCTCTACGTGCGACAATTTAGGACCCTGCGTGCAACCCCGGATTCAATTGTATATATGAGATATTTGCACATTTTACCCACAGGTTTTTTATAATATCGAATATTCCCGTTTGAGTTTTCTAAAATTACTATCCTGGCACGCAAACATTTGTACCAAATTAAGTAATTCATATTAGATGGATTGAGAGGTTATTGTGTGTCTCAAACTTCTTAGCATATTATATTAGGAAAAACGGACCCAAAAATTAAGCGCTTTAAGGATATTCCCTCAAGGGATTAACCCTTGCACCCCGAGAGTCACCAAGACTTTAGGTGTTGTAAGCGTATTAAAGTTAAGGAGGTCGTGGAAGTGATACGTAAGATGAGTAGGGGAAAAGAGACAGGACCAGACGAGATTCCAGTAAAATTTTGGAGGTATGTGGGTAGAGCAGGCTTGGAGTGGCTGACTGGGTTGTTTAATGTAATTTTCAGAATGAGTGGAGCTGGAGTATGATGATTCCTTTATACAAGAACAAAGGTGATATCCAAAATTATAACAATTGTAGGGGTATCAAGTTACTGACTCATACCATGAAAGTTTGGGAGATGGTGGTGGAAGGGAGGGTAAGGAAGGTGGTTCTATATCTGAGTTCCAGTTCGGGTTCATGCGGGGTTGTTCTACTATGGAAGCTATCCACCTTATCAGGAGGTTGAAGGAACAGTACAGAGATAGGAAGAAGGATTTGCACATGATGTTTATTGACCTAGAGAAGGCGTATGACAAGGTCTCTATGAATGTTCTTTGGAGATGCCTGGAGGTGAAAAGTGTGTCGGTAACTTATATTAGGGCGATAAAAAATATGTATGATGGATCTAAGACTCGGGTTAGGACTATTGGAGGTCACTCAGATCCTTTTCTGGTGGTTATAGGGTTACACCAAGGATCTGCGCTCAGCCCGTTCTTATTTGCCCTGGGGATGGACGCACTAACACACCATATTTAATGGGAACTGCCATGGTATATGTTGTTCGCTGATGATATAATTCTGATTGATGAGGCGCGCGACAGCGTTAGCGAGGGATTGGAGGTATGGAGGTAGTCCCTAGAGTCTATAGGTTTCAACTTTAGTAGGACCAAGACGGAATATTTGGAGTGTAAGTTCAGAGACGTGTTGGGGGAAGCGGACATGGAAGTGAGACTTGACTCACAAGTCATTCCTAAGAGAGAGAGTTTCAAGTACCTAGGGTCAATTATACAAAAAGATGAGGACACCGACGGGGATGTCACGCACCGTATCGAGGGGTGGGTGGATAAAATAGAGGTTAGCGTCTGGAGTCCTGTGTGACAAGAATATGCTACCGAAACTTAAAGGTAAGTTCTATAAAGCGGTGGTTAGACCGGCCATGTTGTATGGGACTGAGTGTTGGCCATTCAGGATTTCACATATCCAAAAGATGAAAGTAGCAGAAATGAGGATGTTGAGATGGATGTGCGGGCACACTAGGATGGATAAGATTAGGAATAAGGATGTTCGGGAGAGGGTGAGCGTGACTCCCTTGGACGACAAGATGCGGGAAGCGAGGCTTAGATGGTTCGGTCACGTGCGAAGGAGGAACCTAGATGCCCCGGTTAGGAGGTGTGAGCGGTTGGCTCTGGCATGTACGAGAAGAGGTAGAGGGCGGCCTAAGAAGTATTGGGGCGAGGTGACTAGGCAGGACATGGTGCGGCTTCAGATTTCCAAGGGCATGACCCTTGATAGGAAGGCGTGGAGGTCGAGCATTAGGGTTGTAAGTTAGGGGGTAGTCGAGCATTTCTCCTCGTTGGGCCGGTTAGTGAGATAGTGTTTTGTCTATGATTGTTAGCGATTTTTGTTGTGTTTCACATTATTTTAGCCTTCTATTTATTTGTTGCCTTTTACGACGCTGATACTATTTTTTTGGTTTATGTTGTTGTTACGGATCTATTATCTCTGGGCCGAGAATCTCCTGGAAAGAGTCTCTCTGTCCCTCCGGGATAGGGGTAAGGACTGCGTACACTCTACCCTCCCTAGAGTCCAGACCCACTAATTGGATTCATCTGAGTTGTTGTCGTTTGTTGTTGTTGGATTGACTCTTGACAATATCGTTGAAATTTATAAAAGACGCAAGAGAAGTATATGTTATTACGAATCGCCAAATCCAACAAGGTTGTAAGTATTTGAAATTAGCTTATAATTATTCAATTACAATTTAAATGAATATATTCTGCCTCTCCACTTAAAAACATATAGTTTGCCTGTTCAAAAAGAGGCAAGAGAAATATGGATAAAAGAAAAACATGTTCAATAAATATACTAACAACTTAGAGTAAACTTTGTTAGATGAAAGTAATGATTGTAGAATACGATATAAAAGAAATCATATTCTGTTAGTGTGTTAAATTTCATGATGCTCTTTGGTGTTTACCCGAATTCTAATCTGATTGTCTACAATAGAGAACAAATGTCACATTAGTGGCCAAATAGTAGCTTGTTTGGCCAAAAGTTTTCTTTTCCGGGAGTTAAAAGTATTTGAACAAGCTTTTAAAAGGAAAAATAATTTTTTTAGTAGAAATATATGCAGTTTTTGAAAAGTAGAAAAATGGTTTCTCCAAAAGTTCTTTTTGAAAAGCATTTTGTAGAAAAATACACACAAAAACACTTTTTAAATCCTGGACAAACATTAAATTACTGTTCAAGAGTGTTTTTCAAATTAATTAATCAAACACAAATTATTTCACCGAAAAAAAAATTAAAAATAATTTTCAATTTTTTCTCTCGAAATAAGCTAATTTTAAAAGTTTGGCAAAACGGGTTATCACCTACTACGACCAAATAAGTAGCTATTCCCGACGGTAACTTCAAAATTAGCGAGTTGGGCTCTACAATTATCTAATATATCCAAATTAGGTAAAATTATACGGGCTAGTCACTTTGTTTCAATTTTTGAAAAATAATCGTGCTTGAAAATTCGTTGAAAAATCAATCATTTTTAATACTGAAACATCATGATAGTGTTAGGGATATAGTAAATATGTCCTAGATCCAATCTCATATTTGATGATTTGGACATATTTTTGTGAACATTATTTGATATAAATTATATATGGCATTTGATATTCTTTTATCATTACTATTAATTGCTTGATTAATTTGATAAGGTCCTTGATTAAATTTGAGACTTGACATTGTGATGGAGATCATGATAATGAGAGTGAAGTTTCTTATAATTTAATCTAAATTTGTTCTTGATCATAGGATTATTAATTTGGACATTAGTAATCTGATTAGATTAATATTTATGTGATCGTCTTTATTGGATAAAGATTAGTTGATCTCATTAACTAAATCACATAGATAGATGATGCATATAGAGATATGATCATTGAACCGACTCATTGGATAATTCCTAAAGGTTAGAATTACCATAAACTGTCAATAGGATATTCTCTTGAAGAATGTGATGTAAAAGTTTCCTTTGACCTGAGATAGTTGTTTGACTCAAAAGATATTGAAACATTTTTAAACAAATCAATCAAAGATGAAGGGGTAAATCTTAGCTAAGTATAATAATCTCTAACGGAAAGATGGATAAGGAGAAGACGGGTAACAAGATTGCTTTATCGATCTGAATCAGCAAAATCCTTTCAAGAACATTTCTCATTCATAAGTAGAATTATAGCCAATATTCTCCATCTGCCCTTTACAAAGTTATGGTTCGCTATATATATAGGGAGTCAGTCTCCTCTAAGCTGTAAAAGACATATTATAAGGAATATTCGAAGGAATATTCTTAGTATCCCCTAACGGGCCTATATTATTACAAGGGTCGTACAATCTCTTATTTGTCTCAAGGTCGTCCTCTGCAAGGCGTCAGGTTATGGGAAACTCGCCATTTCGTCGTACTCCTCGATGGTCGTGGTTGTTCAAATTTAGACCCATACAGTTAGTCCCTCCGCTTGTCGAGGTTGCATCCTGGTGCATCCTCGATGAGCGGACACCATGCATTTCTACGGGAAAATTTGACCCTTCGAAGCATTACGACATTGGCCAATGGTGGGCGATCGACGTGCTTGGCAAGATACTAGGTTATACATTTTACCGGGAAATGATGTCATCTTCACGTGCGTCATCATTACGTGTGTTTTTGAGATAGGAGTTGATGGCATGTTACTTCGATTCTGGTGCCACTCTGTGGCCTTCCGCTTCGATTTTGGCGCCACCAATTCCTATAAATAGGAAGAGGGTTTGTTTTTTCGAAAGTTCTTGGCCATTTCACCTCTGAATATCCCTCTTTACCTCCCGAGCTAGCACTGACAATCTTCCACTTCTTCTTCTAATATTCTTCGTTCACAACTTCATCTTCTTTCCTTGCTTATGCTGTATCAACACTTTTTTTCGCTTTTAACGAAATCATGCCAAGGCAACACCGATCTCGCGAAGGAATTCCTGAAGTCGCCCCATTGTCCATAGTGTCCCCTTCGGGCGGTGAAGATACGGTGGTAGAGGAGGGTGACAGCCTTCCTACGGTGGAGGAGTTACTACCGAGACATCCCATGTCTCGAAGTGACTTTCTCAAAGATCCCCCTCCTAATCCTGACCCCGTACTCTCTGAGACGTAGCAAGTTCACATTGAAGCTCTTCGTGTAAAGTATGGCATTCCTGCTCATGTCGATATGGTTCCGGCGGGGAGAGATTTTGTAGAGGTCCATAGACCTGGGTATTGCTTTCTGTGAGTACCCTTTCGTGATTGGCTATACTTTTCCTCTATTCCCATTAGAGAAAGAATTCTATAGATTCTACCAGGTTTGTCTAGCACAACTTTCGCCATATACGCTTAAGATACTCCTGTTGTTGACCAAGTATGCAGAGTTGGCGGAATGTGACGTTTCCATCCATCACTTTTTGAATCTATTCTCGCCTAGTTTCCATAGGGGTACCATAGTGCATTTGAGGCACCGTGGCACAAAAGGGCTGGTGGTCGAGACAGACGACCGGGCAAGTCGCAAGTTTTGG